AGCCTCTTGCCTTCTCTGATTATCCTTTTCCCCCTAATAATCCCTAATTTTTGAAGTGTTAAAGTAATTTAATTTCTTGAACATGCTTCGTTTGTACTTTTTTAAATGTGCTCTTGTAAGAGAGTTGCTTTGAGAAAATGGGGAGAAATTTTGATTTGGAGCACAAAATGTTAGCTCTCACTTTTTCTAGTTCACTGAAGTATAAAGCACAGGTTGGCTCTGGTGGGTTATCAAGGACTGGTGTTTATCTGATCAGCAGTACAGAGATGATGTGTTTGAACTCAAAGTGGTACAGACTGCAGGCCTCAGAACAGCTGGCAGTGTCAGAGCTGTGATGTTTTTGTCTCTGTTCTCAGATACAATGGACAAAGCTGAAGACCAGCCCGATCTGTTTGGTATGTATTAACCTCTGTATTTTCTTGTTGGTTATTTTGGTTTATGGCAGGGGCAGTAGTAGATTATATACTTCCTAGTTCAGCCATCTTCTTGTTTCTGCAGTAGCCCGTCACTAGGGAACTAACACGAGCTGAGGGAGGTGCTTTGTATTCACAACATGCTTCTCTCATACCACATAGAGCATGAGAGTCTGTTTCAAAGCAAAACCTGTATCCTGATACCTGGCTTATCCTTATTTCCTGTGGTAAATGTGTGGCCAATGTGCAAGGCCAACTATGAAGCACATTTTGTGCCAGATGCCATTTACATGTTTTTTTTCCCTGCAGGTTTTCTAAATTCTAATTTTGCTTTACTACACCAGAACACACCCAAAGAAGGCTTCACAGCCGAAACATTGTGTTTCTTCTCTTTTCAACGTGGAATAAACCTTTACTTGTTCCTTTACACGAGAACATAATTTTACACTATACTATAAATTCGTATGCTTCTTATCACTGTGGTTAAATCTAGTAGAGATAGCTCAATGAGCTAAACTGCTGTTTTGTAAGCACACATGCTTACAGGAAAGCAAGTCTGAATCCCACCTCTAATTTTCAAAAACTAAATCTCAGGCATCTTGGTAGATACTGTATATTTAGAAGCTGAATGACTGGTGTTGTAATTCCAGTATGTCATTTCATGTTGCTTTTGACTTGTCCTGCCAGTTCCTGGACAAGGTGGAGGTGGAAATGAGGACATGTGAGGAGCCACGCCCCCCAAACGGCCCCTCCCCCATCGCCATAACAGCAGGGCAAAGGTCAGCTGCATGCCCCACCCCCACCCCCACCCCCGACAGCCTCCACATGCTAATTCTGTCATCAGTTTTGTAGCTTTTAGGTTTGTCTTACTGGTTGCTGTAGTGCAATATATCCCAGTCGTTAAAATATCCTATTTTTTAAGTCTAAGGAACATTTAGAACACCATGAAATAAATATTTGTGCTGCAGTGCAGTATCATGCAATATGCAATATATAAAAATGTGAAGAGTGCATGGTAATTTTATATGTGCTGGCAAATACAGATCTGTACATCAGACAGGCCAGTTCTTTTCTGATCTAGAGAGGTCTCATTGCCTTCACCAGTAGAAATGGTCGGCGGTGCTGGCGTTTGGGCTGAGCTAGATAGACAAGGCCCTGCTGGTTTTCCCTATACAGTGGACAGCTGCTCCCTGTCTGAAAGTTAAGTGTGGCTTCTGACGCCTGTCTGAACTGAGTGTGTCCCAGTCGGTGGTCCCTGCTCGGGCCGCGGTGTCTAACGGGCCTGTGTCGCTGTGTCGCTGTGCCGCAGTGAGTACGGTTTCGCCGAGAAGGTGGTGGAGGGTATGTCCGTGGTCATCAACTCCATCACCATCAAGGTGCGGGCCCAGGCCTTCCACGCCTCCTTCGAGCTCTGGCAGCTGCAGGGCAACAGCCTGAACCCCAGGTGGCAGCGCAGCGACCTCCGCTACACCCGCATCACCGACCCCAAGAGAGGAGAGGTACGTCACGCGAACCCACTGGCCAGCTGGCCTTCGCTGTCTCCAGGCCTCTTTAGTGCTGAGAGGATGGCCTGAGAACGCTGTGTAGAGAGTGGGGTCACTGCGGGGTCACCGCGGGGTCCTGCAGGAAGCATAGGGCAGTATGGACAGAGCATTACAACAGCAAAGGTGAGCAACAAAGTCAGAATGAACCAAATGTTATTTTTTTTAAACTAAATTTAATAAAGGAATGTATAGTTAACATCCAGAGAAATACAACCTACATTCTGGGGTTGAAAGGAATGAGCTATAAGAGCTGAACCTTTTCAGTTCTGAACAGAAGACAATGAAGGGACCCGATACAGGTACAGTGGTGAGAAAAACTTTGTGAACCCTTTGGAATCGTCTGTATTTCTGCATTATTTGCTCCTATATGATCAGTATGACCTGATCTTCATCTGCAGTAAATCATGATAATAGATTAACACAATCTGATCAGACAAATACCACTCAAACACGAGTACTTTTTCATGCCTATGTTGAACACAATGTTTAAACACCCACTGTCTGGGCTGGAAAAAGTATGTGAACCTTTAGATGTAGTAACTGCTGGAACCTCCTTTAGCAGCAGTGACCTCAACCAAACATTTCCAGCAGCTGCTGATCAGTCCTGTACATCAGTTTGTTGGTATTTTGGCCCATTCCTCTGTACAGAACTATTTCAGTTCAGATTTTAGTTTTGAAATTTCTCCTATCTTCACCCTTATCACGATTGTAAAGTTTTCTTCAGAGGGCTAGGACCCCAAGTACACTTAATTAGTTCCTCTTCTAGTCTAGTTGTAGGGTAAACAAGGGAATTGATGCAGTGGCCTGTCTTGGTTAGTGATTTGTATTGTAAGAAACATGGCTTGCATTGACAGTGTGTAATTCAGTTTTTTTCCCCTCCATCACAGGATAAGCATGCTACTGTTTTAGTTTGTGTTTGTAGTGTTCATTTCCAGCCAGATGGTGGTTACACTGTGAAGCCTGGCAGCTTGAAGGCTTGCCAAGTCATAACTTCAAGCGCGGAAGCTGTGCCCATTCGAAAGACTCTGCCTGCGTGGTGTTGGGGTGCTGCTGTGGAGGCAGGAGGCATGCCCGCGACAATTTCACCCCCACACCTCCCCTGCCTGCCTCTCAGGTGCTGACGTTTAAGGAGATCAACTGGCAGAGCCTGCGAATCGAGGCGGACGCCATCGAGGGCGGCGAGCAGGACCTGGGCAGCACCCCCCTGCGCCTCATCACCAACCAGGGCAGGATCCGCATCGCGCTCAAGCGCCGGGTAGGGGAGACAGGAGAACCCCCCCCCAAAAAAAAAGCCCTGCCTAAAATGAGCATATCCAAAAGGATCTGATTCATTTTCAAATGGTCTCAGGAAATATCAGTTCTCTTTGCATGAAATCGCACTGTCCCCAGGGTGATCAGCAAGTCTGAGGTCCCAGCTGCTGTTGGCTTGGTTTTGCGCTTGGTGTTGTGTTTCAAGCACATTGTGTCAGTGTCAAGGCCTCTTGTTTGAACTCAGCCTTGCTCTGTCCTGTCCTGTTCTGTACAGAGGTCCTGTTATCTACAGGCCCGGCTCACTTCAGCTCCACATGCTCTCTCATTGCTGGGCTGCTAGGGTTATGGGGCTCTGGCACCGGCAACCCAGCCGTGGCATTAAAGCCGATTTGCTGGGATGGATTCCGAGCAGGATGGAGGACGGGGAGGAACAGCCCCTCTCTGGTCTGTAACCTCTCCGGTGTTCTTGCAGGTGAAGGACTGTAATGTGCTGGCTTCCAAGCTGCTCTTCATACTGGACGACCTGCTGTGGGTGCTGACGGACTCGCAGCTGAAGGCCCTCATCCGTTACGCCCAGTCCCTCAGCGAGGCCATCGAGAAGTCCGCGCAGCAGCGCAAGAACCTGGCCTCCGACGGCCTGCAGGTTGGGTGGGCCGCTGTCGAAAAGGCTCATGGCCGCCCCCCTTTCCAAAAGATTTAAAATTCATGTAGTTCCCATACTAGTCATCTGCCCATTTTCTAACGTCATTATCCAATTCAGGGCTGCAGGAAAGCCAGAGCCTATCCCAGCAAGCAACAGGCACAGGGCAGGATACGCCCTGGACAGGACACCAGTCCATTACAAACACACATTCACACCAGGGCCATTTTTTCCCCACAAACCAGTTTACCTACCAGTTTGTCTTTAGACTGTGGGAGGAAACCAGAGCACCCAGAGGAAGCCCACACAAACCAGGGGTGAACATGCAAACTCCATGCAGACAGCACCCCAGAAATTGAACCCAGGGCCCCAGCACAGCACAGGAGCAACTCTCACCACTTCTCTCAGCTATGTTACTGAAGGCAATAATTTGGCTTCATTCAAGAACCGGCTGGATGCGATTCTTGTTCTCAATTCAGCCTTACAGTTGGTAAGAACTGCACAAACAGAAACTTAAATACATTGCTAAGCAATGCTCTCCCCTGCTTGTTCTCAGTAAGGACACAGCCAGTCATGGACAATGCAACTTCTGCAATGCCGACTTACAGCACTAAAAGTAAAACTGAAACGGCTACATAGCTCCAACTCCATAGTTCCGCGGAGTTGCTTTAGAAAGAATTTAGATCATGACGTGTTGCTGCCCTCAACCTTTGTGACAGCAGTGGGCTGTCAGAGGACATTGTGCTAGTGGTGCATTTTCAGTGTTGCCTCCCCCAGCAGTGTGCATGCCTGCAGCCAGCAGAGTTATCCGTTAATGAAAACATAATTGCTAAGATGAGACGCGCTGACTTGCATAGGAAACCGTTTTTAAAAACTAGCCGACAGATGTGGTGTTCATGGCCGATCATTTCAGACGTGTGTGTGTGTGTGTGTGTGTGACTCCCTGCAGACTGCGCCGCCCTCCCCTGGCTCTCACCTGCCCTGGGCGGAGCCCGCGCCGCCCCCCAGCGGAGCCCCCAGCACCCTCAGCCAGTACTTCGAGCTCCATGACGTCAAGGAGTCTTCCTACCATACGCTCATTTCTCGGCTGGACCTGCACATCTGCAATGACAGCTCGGCGGAAGACCCTGGTGAGACCCCCCTCTACAAACATCACTCGGCCTCTTCCTATGGGCTGTGTCCCATCGATGGTAGGGTGGCCTGTAAACAGGTGGTTCAATCAGATTCCAAAGACAAAAGACAGAGCACAAATGGGAGCTTCATGCATAGCTAGATGCAGAGGAGTTTCAAACTTACACTGCTGAACAATGGGGCAGTTCCTTTGTTTTGGGAAGGTTTGCCTTCAAGATGGCTGGGCCTGTGCATAGCTACTGTATGGGACACACAATTTGTATCCGATGTGTGTTCGCATCTGGGAGGGGAATAAAACAAGTTAATATTATTTAACATCTGTTGCTCTCTTTTCTCTCTCTATGTGACAAAATGGGCAACTAGTTTGTTCCAGACCCCCTTTACCCAAAGAGTGGTGGGAGTAGGGAACAAGCTACCAGGCCATGTTGTTGAAGCCGATAGTCTGGGTGAGATCCTGGGGTTAATTGGCTACCACTTACCAAACAGGATAGATAGGCCGTATGGCCTCCTGTGGTTTGTAAACTTATGTTCTTGTGTTTTTTTGCTCAGAGGAGCCTCGGTCCTGGAGCTCCACAGGAGCCATGCAGCTGACCTTCCGAATGCTGGGCTTTGACTACTACCCCTTCCACCGGCCAGGTGAGCTGTGAAAGAGGGTGATTTCTGTTTGGAGTGATCCGTAAAACTGCTTAACTGAACAAACTGGCTTAATGATCACAAGAAAATTGACCCAGAGCATTATAAATTGAAAATATATTGCTTATCTATTAAATTACCTGTTAATCAGTGTTTGGAGAGTTTGTACTGTACTCTTTAACCTGTACTTGTATCAGGTTCCATAAATTAATTAACTTGGGGGGATCAGAGCTCTGTCAGGGTACAGACAGGAACCTCGGCTCCTGCCTGCGGCCCAGAGGACTCTGTGTGATCTGATCTCCTCTTGTGTCTCCGGCCCTGGCAGGCGACGGGTGCCGTCACTGGGAGCGACACTGCGGCGCCATGGAAACCCGGGCGCAGTGGGCGGGGAAGCTGCTGCAGGAGTTCCAGAGGCAGGCAGAGGCGGGAGCAGGGCCCCCGGGGTCACTCGGAGGCTCCCCCATGGCTAGCAGGGAGTCACCCTACAAGCGCGCGCCAGGTGCGTCCCCCACTTTGGGCGACTTTGCACCTTAACATGGAGGCCGTCTCCCAGTCTCCTGCCTTCCACACGTGTCTCTTCCTCTTCTGCTCACACCTGTATTGTTTTCATCTGTTGTAATCAGAATTTTCCCTTCGAAGCTTAATAATGAGTTCTGACAGTGTTATACTGTGTTAGGAGGAGTGGTCTCTCATCCCAGCCAGAGTCTAGATTTAAAAATATCACCATGTTCGCTCCTGGCTTATACACATCACACATAGAGTGTGGGCATCTCCTCCAGAGCAGGCCATGGCCGAGTGGTGGTGCCCTGAGTGTACAGGAGGGGTGAGGCGTATCGGAAGTATTGGCCCCAGTCGACCTTTTTACGGAAACGAAGTAGTTCTTGCCGAACGGGAGCATCCCATCCCCTGTGGCCCTGGTGTCGTTACCAGGTGGGCAATGTCATTAAACTGCCGTGAGACCAATATCCCAGAATCTGGGGTTAGCGGTGACTGCTGAGCCACGGACTGTCTCGTTGTTGAGCTCTCGGTGCAAGTGGGAGCAGAGCAGCCTGATGTATTATGTTCAGTCCTCGAGTTGTCTGTCTACAGCAGATCAGCTCGCAGAAACACCCGCAACTACAAACTGCGGAGAGTGCCCGGTACAGGAAACAATGGCCAATCTGTATGTTATTAAAAAGGAAATGAAAAAGTGGTTTGCCAGGTTTCAAGAGGCTCAGAAGTACAGATGGCACACAACATTTTTTACTGTTCTTTCCAACATTCTTGTATTGTATCAAGAAGTTACAAAAATCACCTCCTTGCAGAACCCAGGTGAGGGGGCCCCATGAGACCAGCTGTTTCCTGCCTGTTGCAGGTGGAAGGTGTACATCAGTGCTAGAGGAAAACATCGCTGACCGCTGGTTTTGCGTCGTATTCCTGAAAGCGAGGACTGTCCCGTAGCGGGAAGCTGAAAGTGGTCCCTTTTGTTTTGAAGCTGACGGAGCGTCCAGCCCCCCTGAGTGTCCGCGGGCCTCCCCGGCGCCCCCTTCCCCCCACAGGCTTCCCTGGAAGCGCCTGCGTGCCAGCTGTGTGGTGGTCAGAGTGGACGACCTGGACATCCATCAGGTACTGCCGCCCGCCTGCCTGCCTGCCCGCCAGTCAGTGCCCCAGTTCTGTCCGTTTCCAGCGAAGTGAGCAGTGACTGTCGGAGACGTGCAGAGCACACTGATTCAGAAAACACAGAGACAGAGATCAAAAAGAGCCTCCAAAAGTTAGAAATCTGCACCATTGCCTGTAGTGACAAAGGAACAGGCTACGTTCGAAATCTTTAACATTCTTTCTCCTTGAGCAAAAGTCTATCCAGCAAAATTTAATCCACCACTGGCATACAGGGGCAAAGGGGTTTTATAAGAAGTGGGCTATAGGGCCTGGATTGTGAAAATCTTATGCATCCGGACAACGATGCCCTATAAAAATTCCACAAATTCCAATCAATTGCCAGTGTTTTTTAATCTAGGTTCCGTTTTGCTTTACGGACTCTTGTGTTTAGTCAGTATCCCTCTGCGGGTGAGTCATGGTGAAAGAAGGTGGTCACAGGCTTTGCTTGTTTTAATGAAAGTCTGGGTTTTGACTGCAGGGAGTGCCCTGAAGCTTAGCGAGGGCTGGTTCCAGCTCATGGGCATGGCTGAGAGGAGGGGTGGAGGCTTAGAGAACCCCATCTCTGCTGGGGACCCCTGAGAGAAAGTCTGCCACTTTGAGCTCTGTCTTGTACGGTTCTGATCATCCAGCGTAGAAAGAAGCGGGCATCACTGCGCCTCACTATTCAGCGCACAAGCCAGTGTGGCCTGTTGATCTGAGGGGTGTGCAACAAGCCCATTGGAGAAGAACTGCCTCTTCCACATTGGTGTGTAGAAGCTATTATAAGTAGCCAGTTCTGTATTAAACAATGCAGACAGTTGTCCAGAGTTCAGGTCAGTGCCTGCAGGGGTTTGGAAGTCAGTAGTTGCACATTTGTGGTGCTCATGAAAAGCTTAAGCTTTTGCTGATCGAACGTTATCAAGCAACAAGGGTGGGGGGCTGTGTAGCTCAAGCCCACTGGAGGAAACAGGGAAGTAAGTGCTTGTCCTCAGGGGTGCTGGGCCAACCTAACGTCATCTCAAAACAACTTCTCAACTTGACGAGCATGTGATCTCAGTCACACTCTGCTGCTCTGGAAATTACCAGAGCTGGTTGTGGGCTGGGGGGGGGGAGCACATTGTGGTTTTGGGTATTTTATTATTGGACGTCTTCTGAAATTCCATTTTTAGCCAAAAACTGCCCCTTTGTGGAAGGATTGATCTTCTGACATTTAACCAGAATAAGTGTCTCATTGAGAAATTCCCACAGGGCAGTGCTTAGGCATATTCTTGGCAGGGTTTGTCCCATAGTTGAAACACAGTAAATTACTTTCTAAAAGCCCCCAGCTTTGCCAAGTCTGTACAGGAGCAAATAAGTGTGTTCAGGAACTAATTAAAATAAGAAATGTGATGCTAGCGTGTGTGACTTAAAAAGGTCTTGGGTAGCTGACTTCAATCCTCCTCCATGTTTTCCCCTTTGCATCAGATCTATAACTCGAATCTCGATAAATGAAAGACATGGAATATTTGACAAAACATCCATCCATTTTCTAACCACTTTATCCAGTACAGGGATACAGAGGAGTTGAAGCCTGTACTGGCAAGCAACAGACGCAAGGCAAGATACACCCTGGACGGGACGCCAGTCTGTTGCACGGCACACACAGACACAGACACACTCGCACAAGGGCCAGTCTTTCCAAATCCAAATCAAATCACATCAAAGTTTATTTATCAAATGCACAACAATACAGCGTGCAGCAGTAGTTGCTGGCAATGAAATGTCTTTTCTGCGAGCTCACAAAAATCACAAGAATCACAAAATTAAGGTTATGAAAATAAGGTTACATAATACTAGATGTAATAGAAATTGAATAAAACTCAATATGAATAGAGCTGCTATGTGTCCATGGTGTATGCAATATATACAAGTAGTGCAGTATGCCGAATACAGTGAAAACTGTGTGTCCATGTAGCCATTACAGGTGATTTGCTAAGCAGCTACAGGTTGGCTATTTAGCAGTCTTATTGCCTGGAGGTAGAAGCTGTTCCGTAGTCTCTTGGACTTGACCGAATGCTTCAGTACCATTTACCAGATGGTAGGAGGGAAATCCAGGAGCCAATTAACCTACAAAACTCCTTTGGACTGTGGGAGGAAACCGGAGCACCCAGGAATCCGAGCAGATTCACTCCTGGAATTGAACCCAGTGCTGTGCTGTCCCAGTGCTGTGAGGCAGCAATACTAACAACTGTGCCACCCTTCTACAAATTCTGATTTTTTTTACATCATCCTTGCAACAGTCTCACTTCAACACAGCGGCAACATAACAGACCAGATGCTGTAGAAGTATTTGTTTAGAAAAGAAATGGACATGGAGCAGAAACACAATGGAGACTGGCCTTGTTTTAGGACCTTTTTAAGACCCTTGTATAGTTATGCATGCATTTTAAAACTGGGAAGGCTATCCTTTTTTAAGATACTATAATTTATACCTTTTAAATTAAATGAAAAATCATTAATAATAAAAAATAACTGGCAGGCATGTTAACACAGGAAAATGAACTGTACCATTTCTTTTGGGGGTACCCTCTGTGTGTGACACTATTGTCTCCACAAATAATGCTGTTTATGTTATAACTCTTGCAGCTATCATGCTGCATTGAAATTTAAACACCACCAACCGTGTTCATGAGTGCTGGAACTGAGGCTTATGAACACCACCATATATCCTAGGGCAGCACAATTTTCACACAGTCCAGCCCTGGAAGAATGGGCTTACTTCTCTCGTTTTGCACTTCCCTAGGTATCCACAGGGGGGCGCCACAGCAAGAAGCCCCAATCCCTGATGACTTGTAACCGGAGGTCCCTGCATCTCCCAGACACTGTATCGGCCATCCACTTCCAGTTCATGGAGTACTACTTCCCTGACAACCCTCAGCTGCCTGGTAACGTGCCTCAGTGTGAATCTGCAGAGCCCTGCCATATTAAAGTGACAGCCTGAATCAGGGGGATGAATTCACTGGTCAGAATGGTCGGAGCCCAGAGCTGAATAATGCATTGGGCTTGAATTGCAGCTCATAGTTCATTGTCCAGAGTTCATCCCATGGCTACAGCAGGAATTGTATAGGTGTGAGTGAGGGAAAATGATATTGTGCACCATGAGGTCCTGACGCATACGTTCAGACATAAGACTGCAGGATTGTCCCCACAGTGTCCAGAGGTCAGACACTGACTTTATTTAAAACAATGTTTTTCACTATATTTGCTCCAGTATGTATTAGATATTACAAAGCCAGCAGCCATATCACCCTGCTACTCACAACCCACTGAAGTTCAGCAGGGGTGAGCCTGGTCAGTACCTGGATGGGAGACCTCCTGGGAAAAACTAAGGTTGCTGCTGGAAGAGGTGTTAGTGAGGGCCAGTAGGAGGCGCTCACCCTGTGGTCTATGTGGGTCCTACTGCCCCAGTATAGTGACGGGGACACTATGATTTAAAAAGGCACCGTCCTTCATATGAGACGTAAAACTGAGGTCCTGACTCTCTGTGCTCATTGTAAATCCCAGGATGTCGCATAGGGTCTAAAACATCACCCTCCACAGGAGACCGATCCGGCTTCCGTGACACAAGGGAGATTCCTTTTTAGATGTTTCCAGAATAAAGGAGTTTATTCATGATTCATTATTTATTTTATGTATTAAACCACTCAAAGCGCTTTACAGGTAATGGGGACTCTCCACCACCACCAGTGTGCAGCACCACCTGGAAGATGTGACAGCAGCCATAGTGCACCAGTCCTCTCACCACACACCAGCTATCAGTGGGGAGGAGAACAGAGTGATGAAGCCAGTTCAAAGATGGGGATTATTAGGAGGCCATGATTGGTAAAGACCAATGGGAAATTTGGCCAGGACTCCTGGGAACACCCTGCTTTCAGAGTGGCCAGCAGATATGTGTGGATTCATAGATATTGACCCTGCCAAGGACCCTGACATGACTGTTAGTTGGTGCTTATTGGTGCTCAGTTCACCCTGAATGATGGTGTTAAATGATAAATGAAATTCTAGTTCCCTAAAACGTTTAACTGCACAAATTAGGAAAAGATACTACTGCAAATAAAAGATGCACTTACCATCTGTCTGCGACTACAAACTGTAGCACTAGATGCCTCAGCTAACAGAGCCCCAGAGAAGGAATTCCCTTCGTCTGTGCTGCGGATGATTCATTGAGAAGAGCCAAGAAACAGGCTGTTTGAACAGACTGCAGAGCCCATCGATGTTACTGCCCTCTGGTGGCATAACGGCAGTAAATATCTCAACAGTACCATGGCTCTGCAGAGTGCAATTCTTCTCTTTAGGGCATATATCCTTCTTTCTGTTTCAACTGAGGAAATGTAAATACACTTGTATATCTTAGGCTTATTTGTAATGTTAATAAATGTTATTGTACATGTGTATAATAATATATAGAGTGCTGTGCATACCAGAGGATCCCTGGTGCTTCAGCCTGTGGTGCCCATTCTCTGCCCGCTGCCCCACTACACAGCAGGTCTGGGGGAGGAATGACAAACTGCTTCGCCCATGAAATTAAGCCAGACACCTGGGTTAATACCCCGAGCATAACGAACAGAGCCACGGGATGTTTAAAGACTAAGGAATTCAGTTTCATCCGAAAAACGGCACCTCGTAATACTTTTTTTACACTCTTAGATGAGCATTTGTTTTGGAAATTCGGCCCCCAAGAGCCACCAACATTACTGCTAGTGCTGCTCTTTGATCTGAGGTGAACGCGTCCCATCGCTCCGTTACAAGCTGCGTCTCTTCCTCAGTGACGTGTATCTAGATCTTCGGTGCATTTGTAATGGTAGTTCTGTTGCATGCGGTGGAGATCCCATCTTTACACGCACATCATGAGCTGGAGCAAAGTTCGTTTTCTGGATTTTTAAGAATATTTTCACATAAAAGGAGACATAGCTGAGGCAGAGGTGCCCTGTAATCTTGGCCCCTTGATGGTGTTATAAGATCACTTTATTGGCCATGTACAATTTCTTGAATTAGGAATTTGTCTGCTTCCCGTGAGAAACACAGACAGGGAGAGAAACCTGGGGTCAGAGCTCAGGTCAGCCATTTATACTGCGTCCCTGGAGCAGTTGGGGTTAAGGGCCAGCAACCTTCCAGCCACAGGCGCAAATCCTTAGCCACAGAGCCACCGCACCGCCCTACACAGCCGCAGTTGGGTCTTGAGTAAAAAAAGAACCCCGTTCAAACTTTACCCCATCACTCTGTTGGTGCCCGCTTTGAGCAGAGCCCTGTCTGTGGCACTGTCTGACTGTGCTACCTTCCCCTCACTCCCTCTTGCAGTGCCATGCTCCAACCTGTACCTCCAGCTGAACGGGCTGCAGCTGTGCCTGGACCCTGCCAGCCTGGTGTGGATGAACCTGTTCGCTCAGGGGCTGCGGCGCTCTCTGGAGCAGGTCAAGGCCTTCTACAAGCTGCAGGATTCTGGGAAGGCGGAGGAGCACGTGGACGTGCGGATGGATGCGTCGCAGCTGAAGGTCAGGTGGGAGGAGGCCTGGAGGGGGGGAGTTTCAGAAGGGGCGTACTCAGGAATTGTGGTTGGGGCTATGAGTGATCTGCCTGTGTACCACTGTATCACTGTAACAGTATAACAGGAGGTCCATGCATATAGGATAGGGTACTGTTTGCAGAGATGATTTTTGACTCTGATTTGCTCTTTCCTGGGAGCAAATCTATGTGATGTCCAGGATCGTGCCTGTATCATTACTCGCAGGGCTCTACGTGAAGTTATTTTCTGAGGAAGCGATCGCTTGAGTGGACGTGGTCTGTGAAGACTGCGCACTGATATCTCTCTGTGCTTCTAGCTGCTGGTCCCACTGGACTCCTCCATCCTCGACCACCCCGACCGGCCCCAGACCCTGTGCATCCACGTCTGGCAGGCCGTCATGACCAACACGCGCCACTCCACTCATGGCACGCGCGCCGACCTCCAGGGCGTCTACCACTCCTTCGCCGCCTGCCCTTTCTTCCAGCCGTCGGCCGATCCCGGATTCCCCAGGGACCAGGCCAGCTTCCACCCCCTGCCCCCGGCCTTCCTGCAGCACGCCCTGGAAGAGGACCCGCCCCCGGACCCCCTGAACACGGAGAAGCCCCCTCGTGCCCAGGACGTGTGGGCCCTCAGCCTCTCCAGACTGGCGCTGGACTTCGAAGGGGCACGGAGAGGCCCCCGGGGCAGACCCCTGCCTTTCGTCGAGCCGTTCGCCGCATCCCTGTGGATATGCCGCCCCACAGCCTTCCAGCACCAGCTGCTCTCTCCCTCGCACGCCTTCCCGTCTCGGACCGCCGCCAACACGAGGCTCCGCTCATCGGTCAGCTGCGACAACCACATCGGCTGCTCCCCGGTCCCGGAGGGGCCTGGGAACAAGCCCAAGTCCAGGACCGTCCAAAACCTGGCTGATCTGAGCTGGCCGGCAGGGAAGACAGCCGGGGCCTCCCTGCAGCAGAACGGAGAGGCGATCCGACAGGCTTCTGTCCACGTTTTGGCCCAGACCTTATCCCCGGTCAAGCTGTGGCTCAATCACTACCAGTACGTGGCTCTGCTCCGGATGAAGGACACCCTGGCCAGCCTGGCCGCCGAGCTGACCAGGGACGTCCGGCAGGACGCGGGGCAGCAGGCGCCGGCCCCCAGCGTCAGCCTGGGGCTGCTGCTGGAGAGCGTGGAAGCCGGAGTCCTGCTGCCTCCGGCTGCCACGGAGCCGGAGGAGGCGCGCTCCCCCGCGGAGACGGACAGCCCCAGCCTGACCGACTCGGAGCTCTCCCCTCTGAAGGGGCCTCCTCCTGGCGGGGCGCCGCCGGACACGGGGGAGCTGGAGCTGCCGGTGGAGGAGGCCTGCGAGGCCGTGGAGGAGGAGGAGGAGAGCGGGGCGGGCCTGTCCCCGCCGCTCTCGCCCCCCGCCCGCCCTCTGCGGTCCCGGGACCCCTCCTCCTTCAGCCTGGAGGGGGAGCTGGCCAGTGCCCTGACCGCCACCAAGGACGCCACCAAGGAAGCTCTGAGCGCCTCCCTGGACCTCACCAAGGAAGCCATCTCCATCACCAAGGATGCCTTCAGCGTCCTGAGCCGGGAGAAGATGAGCTCCACCATGCACAAGATGCTCTTCACTCCCCAGAGCAGGTCAGTCAGGATTCCCCAGGACCAGTGTATTCATTTTTGTATCGGAGCATCCAAAACCATCCTGGAGTGAATTAGCATTCAATTCTGAACGGGCCTACTGTTTTCTTGCAGGGCCGCACAAACAGGGGGCACTGACTTTGATAAAGGTGCATTTCTTCTTTTTTTTGGCAGCAGCAGCAGCTTTTCTACTCAAGTGAGTTCCAGAAGCTACAAATGAGCATCTTATTATAAGTCTGTGTCTCTTTCGACCTGAGAAGGCACCAGATCATACATGCCTATCGGAACCAAGTACCGAGCTGACGCACAGACACAAACATGGCTAAATTCTTTGACGTGTTCCCCTCAGTCACCTGTTTGAAAATGGGCTGTGTGTGTCTAAGGTCACAAATCGTCAGTGAAATCTACTCTCTTTCTGTACCTCTAGTGCAGTGGAAGTATCAATAACAATGACAATTGCTTACACTTATATAGCACTTTTCTGGACACTCCACTCAAAGCGCTTTACAGATAATGGGGACTCCCCTCCACCACCACCAGTGCACATAGTGACCAGTATGCTCACCACACACCAGCTATCAGTGGGGAGGAGAACAGAGTGATTAAGCCAATTCACAGATGGGGATTATTAGGAGGTCATGATTGGGAAAGGCCAATGGGAAATTTGGCCAGGATGCCACAGTAACACCCCTATTCTTTTCGAGAAACACCCTGGGTTTTTTTAATCAGGACCTTTTTTTAATTTATGTCTCATCTGAAGGACAGCACCTTTTTACAGTATAGTGTCCCCATCACTATACTGGTGGATTAGGACCAACACAGACCCCTACTGGCCCCACTAACACCTCTTCCAGCAGCAACCTTAACTTTCCCAGGATTTCTCCCATCCATGTACAGACCAGGCTCACGTCTGCTGAGCTTCAGTGGACTGCCAGTTGTAAGTTACAGGGTGATGTAGCTGCTGGCTATATATATATATAGTATCCGGTATTGTGATGCCTACTAAATGGGAAATGCATACGGTTGTTGAGTTAGGGCGACACGCTGGTGCTGCGGTTAGCATTTCTACCTTGCAGAGCTGGGGCTCTGTGTTCAAGTTCTGGACCTGCGGTGCTATCTGTGTGGAGTTTATACGTTATCATGTTCGCATGGATTTCCTCCAGGTGCTCCAGTTTTCTCACACAGTCCAAAAACACACTCGAAGGTTAATTGCTTTCTGGGTAAATTAGCCCTGGAGTGAGTGTACAGTATGTGTCTGTCGTGCAAAGAACCGGCATCCCGTTCAGCGTGTGCTCTGCCTTGTGCCCATTGCTTGCCAGGATAGGTTCCGGCTCCCTTGTCACCCTGTATTGGAAGAAGCTTTTAGAAAATGAATGGATGTCATTGAGTTACTCGACGTGGGAATAGAGTTGTTCCCAGCCCCAGCCTGACCGACTCGGAGCTCTCCCCTCTGAAGGGGCCTCCTAGCGGGGCGCCGGGGAGCTGGAGCTGCCGGTGGAGGAGCCCTGCGAGGCCGTGGAGGAGGAGAGCGCCCGCCGCCTGCCCTCTGCGGTCCCGGGACCCCTCCTCCTTCAGCCTGGAGGGGGAGCTGGCCAGTGCCCATTGGGTCATTGAGTTACTCAACATGGGAATTGAGTTGTTCCCTGATGACAGGAAGTCAAGTAATTGAACATGTTCGGATAAGTTGGGATTCTTGCAGACCTCCTTCCTAATGGTTTTGGTTAAGGTACACACAAGCCATTAAAGGGGAGTTACAGATTTGTCTTTCCTAAAATCCAGTTTTATTCTACTTAGCTCCTGTAAAACCTGAGTAAATGCAAGATTGGATTATATTAAAGTGGAATGACAGATGAATCAAAGCCCACCCCGAATGGCTAAAAGTTAAGTCTTCATCTGTCCTTCTGCAGGGATCAGCCATCTCGCCCCGAGGATCCCCCGGGCAACCTGCGTGTGCAGAGCATGAAGCACTCCCCATCCCAGCATTCCTTCGAGAGCTCCTCCCTGGACGGCAGCCTGCCTGACGATGGGCTGTCCGTGGACAGTGACAGCAGCGAGAACTTCGTCATCCTGATGGACTCTGGTAAGACCCCCACGCCCCTGGAGCCGGGAGTGTTGGACTGACCGCACTTCAGGCAGTGGCGTTCTGATCACAGGAGGACCATCCTGCTGACTGCGTATGTTAGCATTGAAACATCAGACATCGCCGCACCAGGTCTGATCTGATATATGAGGCCACATGCTTGCAGATGTGTGTCCTTATTGCTCCCACATGCAGAAATCCTGACGGAAGCAGGGCTTTCAAAATGCTTTTGCCTGGTGCATCAGGGGTTAATCTGTGTCTCCCTGCATCACCAACAAGATCTGATTGTCTTCAGTAAAACAGTGGGCTTGATCAATTTGTTCAGCATAATATCAAAGTCCTTACCCACCCGCCGATAGGGAACGTCAAACCCAGGACAGATCACAGCTTCCCATCTGTAAGACCCAGGAATCCTCTGGCCAGCACACAGCTGTGATCAAGTGCCCCATGTGGAATGTGCCATTGGCAGGCGGGTCAGTTTTTTTAAATTGTTGCCGGAGCTCATTCGGTTCTGTTTGTGGCGACCTGCCTGGGGAGCGTGTCAGCTGTCTGTGTTTAAGGAGCCGCTGTGTTGGGGTTCTGTCTTTCTCAGAGTCAGGGATGGAGTCCATGCGCCCCGACAGCACCCCTTCTCTGCTGGTGGACCAAGTGAGCCGGGGCAGTCCTGCACTGGGCACCGAGGGGGGATCCTCTGCGGACCTGAGCAGTTCCCTGTCCCAGAGCACAGAGGACATATCTCAGGACACGGTGAGGGTGTGAGAGAGTGAGCAGGCGTGTGCAAAGGGGTGAGAGAGTGAGCAGGCGTGTGCACAGGGGTGAGAG